GCATGAGCAAAGCCGGCGATTGTGAAATAGTTGCCTTTTCTGGGAATTGTAAGTAGTTTTGTATGCCCAGAGGGCAAATTATAGTGTGTACAGAAGTGATGAATATGATAAACTGAAAACAAGGTCAGTAGTACAGGAACTTTTTCACTTGGTGAAGGATTTAAATTTTATCTTAAAGGTGATGGAATCATTGAAGGTTTGAAGCAGATGTCAGATTGACATGTTTAGCAAAGCTATGTAGTAGCATGTAGCACCACTGGAATTATAGACTGCCTCAGTTTGAATCCATACCTCCATAACTGCTCTGGGCCTGTTTCCCCACGTAGAAAATTGAGGTGATAACAACACCCCGTCTCCCAAAGTTGTAGATTCAATGATTGTCTAAGTGATGTGTTCACAGCAAGCAGTGCCTAGCTTATTTATAGTAATAAGCTCAATAGCTGTGAGCTCTTCCTCCGGCAGTGGGAACGAGGGTGGGTTTGAATGGATTATGATAAGGCAGGCAGACCAGTTGCGATTCGATTCTTAGAGTGACGGTGGGTTTACAAAATGGCAATGGGTATGTACAGGAGGAACCAAATTTGAGGAAGGATTGGGAACTGACTTACCCTGGTTTGGTTAGCATGAAAGAGAGGCAGTGATGGCCTGAGTGCTGAGGAAGTGGGGGTGCTGCCAGTCTGGACAGAGGCAGGAAGAGGAGGCTGAAGATGTCACCGGCACTGTGAGATGGCAGGAGGGGTGTGTGAGGTCCAGGTGTAGATGTGATAGGTTTGCAGTGCAGGCAAGGGGCGGTGCTACTATGTGGATGAATTTTGTGCTGTTTGAAACTTCCTGGAGAGGCCCTCCCTGGTGGCGCAACAGGCGCACAGCACTAGGAAGCCATCTGCAGCCACTGAAGCACAAGTTTGATCCCCAGCCAGGGAGCTGACCCACATGGTGTGGCAGACCTCTCCTGACCCACCTACAGCTCCCCTCAGCTGTGTACTTCATCAGTCAGCCTGTTCTGCTCCCCACTCTGTCTCCGGTGAATCCTCGCCCCCACCCCCCACACCTCTGGCCAGTATCCCAGTTCTTGTATGCACAAATAAATAAATAAATATATTTTTTTAAAAAGCTGAGTGGTATTCTGTTGGGTATAAATATACAATATCTACATCTAGTCATCTATGATGGGTGTTTAGATTTTGGTTAATGTGAATAGTGTTATGAACAAGGGGAAGCATATCTTTTTATTTTTTAAAAAAATATTTATTTATTTATTCATGCATAAAAGAACTGGGATATAGGCCAGGGGGAGAAGAGAAAAGGGGTGAGAGGACTCAACATAGACAGAGTAGGGAACAGAGCAAGCAGATTTACTGAAATGCACTGCTGAGGGGAGCAGCAAGCAAGACAGGAGAGGTCTGCTGCGCCATGTGGGTCACCTCCCTGGCTGGGGACCAAACTTGTGCTGCAGTGGCTGCCAGTGGCTTCATAGTGCTACAACTTAACCCACCCTTGCACCACCAGGGAGGTTCAGATAATAATACAGATATAATACTTACCTGGTACTTCTTCTGGTCACTGTTGTAGATATTTTATTTGTATTAGCTTGTTTAACTCTCAGCAACAGTGTTTTGATGTAGAAACTGTTATTATCCCCATTTTACCAATGCACAAAGTGAGGTTCAGACTGACTATGTCTTGCCTGTATTGCATGGCCTGTGAGTAACTAAGCTGTGGCTTGGGTGCCGGCAGGCGGCTTGCAGGGGCCTGTTCAGAGCTGGGGAGAGAAGCCCAGACAGTGGATCATCCTGTGTGGCTTGGTGCTGAAGCTGGATTTGACTGCAGTGGGGTCAGCTGCCACCGTGGAGTCTAGCTTGGGGTGAGACCACAGGCAGCCAGACCTCTGCAGGCCCTCACCAGAGGGCAGCGAGGCCCTGAGGGGAAGGCCTGTACTTTAAACCAAAGAAGCCAGACTGGGGAGTGGTGATCCTGATTGATGAAGGGAAGGGGAAGATGCTGTAGCCACTGTGTGTGTGTCTATACACAATGTCGTATGTAAATGTTTAGATCTGATGGCCAGAGAGGACTCAAAAAAAAGGAACTTTAAACTCAAGTGTTACACAAATAGCCATCAAATTCATATGCTGTGATTTTCTTTTTCGTGTGTGTGTGTGTGTCCCTCTATTTTAAAAGCAGGTTTTTACTTTAATTAGAAGCTGTTCTTTATTTGGGTGGTGTCATAGATTGTGTCCTTAGGAAGCTGACTCTGAAATATCAATTACTGTGCTGAGACATTTATTAGGGAGTGCTCTTGGGATCCACACCTGGAGAGGAGGGGAGCAGGTCTGGGCCAAGGGGGAGTCACAGCTTGGCCTAGTTCTGCTGCACAGGGAGCTTTGGAGCCTCAATAGGCTTTATTGCTGGGTTGTGGAGCTGGGGCTTTATTGTTTCTCCTCCCCCTGACCAGGCAGTGGGGGTGCAGCTGTGCCTGTCCCTGGGCAGAGGGTGCCCCTGGGGGTAGGATGCCCGTGGCCGATACCCCTGGGTGAGGCAGCAGCTTCTCCGCAGCTGGTGGCTGAGGAAGGGCTTTCTTCTGGCAGGTCTCCCAGCCACCTGGCCAGTGAGTCCCTTGCTCCTGAAAAGGCATATGGTTTAAGCATCACAGTTGTAAGATTTGAAAGTCTAAAAAGCAGAGAAGGCAAACTTGAGCAAAAAATGAAGACATCTCATTGGTCAGCTTTCTTGAATAAGAGAGTCCTCAATTTTGGTTCAGTGAAGGTTGCTGAATTTAATGTCTGTGTCTGTTATGACATTTGCTTAAATGTATTAAGGTATAATGTCAAACCTACAGATATAGGGTAATAGTGCCAGAAATAATTTATAGGCAAAATGGACCTGACTTTGATTTTCAGTTTTTTTAAAAAAAGATTTATTGGCCCTCCCTGGTGGCGCAGCTGGTTAATGCACTGCGAAAGAAGCTCAAACCACTTCCGCATGAGTTCGATCCCAACCTGCCCCAGAGGAGATCCACATGGCATGGCAGACCTCTCCTGACCCACCCACTGCTCCCCTCAGCAGTGTACTTCATTGATCTGCCTGTTCTGCTCCCCGCTCTATCCCTGGTGAATTCTCTTACCCTCAGCATCTCTGGCCTGTACCCCAGCTCTGTATGAATAAATCAATAAATCTTTAAAAAAAAAAAGATTTATTTATGCATGCATGCAAGAACTGGGGTACAAGCCAGAGGGGCTGAGGTGGTGGGGGGTGGTGAGAGGATTCACCAGAGACACAGTGGTCAGCAGAACAGGTGGATCTACTGAAATACATAGTAGAGGGGAGCAGTAGGCAAGACAGGAGAGGTCAGCTCCCTGGCCGTGTGGGTCAGTTCCCTGGCCAGGGATCGGCCTGAGCCATCAAAATTAAAGAGCCAGAGTCTTAACCTCTAAGCCACAGAGGCCCTAGCCTGCTTTTGAAAAGGTGACGTTTTACTCCATAGTTGGCTTCTGGTAGGCAATGGCTTTTCCGAGACAGCCTGATTTATAAAGACTTATACTAAGGAAAGGACAGGACAGGGGTGGGGGATGGGGAGGATGTGGGGGTTGGTTTAGTGATAACCATGTGCCTGCCAATCTGAGCCCTTCCATCTCCTTGCTATGAGCTCTTGGCTCAGCCACTTCACCCTTTAGACACTTAATTTTCTCTTCTTTAAAAATGTGGGAGATGGGCCCTCCCTGGTGGCGCAGCGGTCAAAGCACTGCATTGAGAAGCTAAAGCCACGTCCGCATGAGTTCGATTCCCGCCTGCCCCGGAGGTGACCACATGGCGCGGCAGACCTCTCCTGACCTGCCCGCTGCTCCCCTCAGCAGTGTACTTCATTGATTTGCCTGTTCTGCTCCCCGCTCTGTCTCTGGTGAAGCCTCTCACCACCCCTGAGCCTCTGGCCTGTACCCCAGTTCTGTATGCACAAATAAATAAACCTTTAAAAAAAAATGTGGGAGATACTACTTATCCATACTAATTCAGTGTCATAAAAGTATTCTCTAAATGTTAATGCTAAGCAACAAAAAAAGCCTAAAGGACTGCAGGAAACACCTAGAACCCTTCATCTTTTGGATGAGACAGGTAGTGTCGAGACTGTTTTCAGTTATATCAGTAGTAGATCAAGGAGGAATGTCTCCCGAGGAAGACAGGACAGGTGTCAGTTGTGCGTGAGCTTGAGTCTTGAGTGCCAGGTATATTAAGTGTCATGTTTGGAGAATCTGCTGACTGACAGTGGGCTTATCTATGGATGTGGGGCCCCTCTGGTTAGGCCTCGCCTCTTCCCTCTACCCTCACATACCTACTCTGCCAGGTGGGAGATTTGGACGGCTCCCCAGAGCCAGGTCCTGGTCTTGAGCTGTGTGATCATAGGTAAGCTTCTTCTCATAGGCTAAGTTCCTCATGGAAAATGGGGTAATAACACTTGTCCTGCTGATTTGTCATGCTTGTTTCAAGGATCAAATGATACAGTGGATGCAAGAACACGTTCAGAAGCCCTGAGTGCCCTACAGATGTCAAGGATTATTATTATTATCCTCTGCATTGCTCCTCCCTCCCGCCCTTGCCTCCAGCTTTGTGGGCTTCCTGCCAGAATCCTCTTGACAAGTGGCTGCGTGACTTGTTGAGAAGCTTTCTTGCTTTCTCCCAACCATGAGATGTCATTTGGGAAGCTGCTCTGGTAGTCAGAGGGATCTCTAATTAGATTAGTTGGGAGGCAGAGAAGGCAAAATTAAAAATGAAATAAATCTCATTTGCAAGAAATATTTCCTTTCCACTGATAAAAGAATATTGCCTTGTAGTTATAGCAAAAAGCATATGTGAAGATATTTGGGATACTGGCCAGAGCTGGGAGAGCTTCAGCCCCTTTGCCTTAAGCTCTTGGCCTGGAAGTGCTGGAGAGCAGCTTTGGATGCCTGCCAAGCAGGCTGCTCTGCTCTCTGCACCCCTTTCTCTGATGTGCCCTTCTCTCTTCCCAGGCTCCCTGGCATTGGGCTGGGGTGACGTGCACAGCGCGAATCCTAAAATTGAAGTTGCTGAGAATAATCGTGAGTTGGCGGGGGTGGGGGGGTGGGCTAGAGGGTAGGGAGGAGAAGACCCCCAGGAACCTGGGTAACATCCCATCAAAACTGCAATAGGGGGCCGGGTCCCCCTCGTCTCCACTTGCCACCCTTCCTTCCTGCCTCACACTTTGGTCCTGTCTGCAGCCGTCACACTGTCCTGCTCCTTCTCGGGCTTCTCCTCGCCCCGTGTAGAGTGGAAGTTTACCAACAGGACCGGCACCACCCTTGTCTGCCATGACAGTAAGATCACAGGTGAGTGAGTCTCCTCCTTCCTGGTGACCTGCTGTGGAGGGATGGGTTATGCCTGGGTTTGGGGGCGTAAAGTGGAGGGAAGGTACGTGCCCAGGGGCTCACGTGCCCCCTGCCTGCCCATCACCCTTCCTTGGGGGTACAGGACAATCCTTGTGCCTTAGATGTCACTGTCACCAGAGACTCTCAGCTCTCCAGCTCACTCTGCTCCTTCTTCCTCTCCCTGGTAGCTTCCTTTGAGGACCGGGTCACACTCTCAGGTGCTGACCTCCACTTCAAATCTGTGACCCGGAATGACAATGGGACATACACCTGTATGGTCACTGATCATGATGGCAACACCTATGGGGAGGTCAACGTCTATCTCACTGTGCTGGGTATGTATCACTTGTCTCTGTGGGCTTGGCATCCATCGCCTCTCTAAATGCTCAGAAGCTCCACCAACTTAGGAGCTGGTGGGTGGGTGGCGTTCAGGGTCACACACATTGCCTCCAAGGGGAGGGCTCCCCTTGAAATGATCTAAGCGCATGAAAGGAAGGAGGCTAGAGCTGAATGGGGTTTCGTCCCAGGCCCTATTTAGACTCCAGCAGCCCTCGCTGGACTGTCACCACACTCTCTCCCTTCCCAGTGCCTCCATCCAAGCCAACAGTCAGCATCCCCTCATCTGCCACCATTGGGAGCCGGGCGGTGCTGATCTGCTCAGAGAATGACGGTTCCCCACCCTCCAAGTACTACTGGTTCAAGAACGGGGTGCCGTTACCTTTAGAGCCCAAGAACAACCGCGCTTTCAGCAACTCTTCTTATACCCTGAATGAACACACAGGGGAGCTGGTATGGAAGGGGCGAGTCGTGAGGGGCATGGCTATGGGTTCCCTGAAGGTGGGGAGGGAGAATTAGCAATATTCATGGGGAACCCGGCCTTGGGGCCAGGAGACACCAAAGATAAGAACAGGGCTTCTTCAAACAGAGAGCTAATTTGTCTTGTTTTCAGATCTTTGATCCTCTGACTGCCACTGATAGTGGAGACTACTCTTGCCAGGCACAGAATGGGTTCGGGTCACCCATGAAGTCGGATGTGGTGCACATGGAAGCTGGTGAGCGAGGGTGGCTCGAGCCGCCTCGGGGTGGAGATCTGCATTCTACCCTGAGTGGTGCCTGGACTGCCCAGGCTGGTGCCTGACCTTGTCTGTGTTTCACAGTGGAGTTGAACGTGGGGGGCATTGTGGCGGCTGTCCTGGTAACCCTCATTCTCCTTGGATTGTTGATCTTTGGCATCTGGTTTGCCCATAGCCGAGGCTACTTTGACAGTAAGTGTTCGCCCTCACGAGCTCTCTTTTGAGTCCCCCTCCCTGGGGCAGGAGCAGTGTGCCAAACCTGTCTTCCTGCACTGTGGGGTCTTCTAGCCTGCAAAGGTCATGGTCCTGTTTCTTCTCTTTCAGAAGCAAAGAAAGGGTGAGTGAGCACCGCCATGGACGCTTCCGGGCTGAGGACATGATGGTCACTTTTGGAAGCTGAGCTGGGCCCAGGGGAAGGGGTTGGAGGTGGAGGCAGCCAGCCGGGAGGGAAGACAGTGGATTGTGGCCCCGGGCCTGTCCTTTCTCCCTGGACCTACTACCCCACCCACCCCACTTCTGGAAAGCTCTCAGCTGTAGCCTCTGAAGCTGGCAGGCTGGGGTACAGATAAGAGCTGAGCACCTTGTCTTCTGGCCTGTCTGCAGGACCTCAAGTAAGAAGGTGATTTATAACCAGCCCAGCACCCGCAGTGAGGTGAGGATGCTGTCCTGTGAGGGGGGTGGGGCTCCAGCTGGAGTTGGGGTTCTGGCCTGTGCTCTGTGTTGGAGGAGTTATATACCAAAGACTATGGAGAGGTGACTGGATGTTTTGTTTCCCCAGGGGGATTTCAAGCAAACCTCTTCCTTCCTGGTGTGACCCTGGCCCCTGGTGTGACCCTGGCCGTCTGTCTCCTGTCCTCTGCTCGCCTTCCTCAGGTGCTACAGACTCTGGCCCTGACTCTAGTTCACAGGATGCCTTGCTTCTCACCCCCACCGTGGCCTCTTTTATTTTCCGGAGGATGTGTTTTTAATACTGCCAGCCCCTTACTCTTTCACGTTCCCCACTAACTTCCCACCACTGCTGAGTGGCCTGGACTTGTTTAAAGTTTTCGTTCCCCACCCCCACAAGGGACGAGGCAACAGTCACCAGTGATGCCTGTTGATTTCCCTGTGCTGGCCACTCACTCCCCACTGGCCTATAGTGGCCCTTGAATGGGAATCTTGAGCCCAGGTCCTTGGCTTTCCTCTGAGGCTGGTCCCAGCTTTTCTAATGGGGACAGGCGGCTGGAACAGCAGAAATGAGTGTTTTGAGGTGACATAGCGTCTCTTCGTTCACCGGAGCCCACTCTTCTGTCTTCTACGAAGACCCTGTTGAACACCAGCAGGCCAACCTGACTGTCGGTAGCAAACAGGAGCCTTTGTTGAGAACATGCTGAGCTTTCAGGAGATACAGCTGTAAAGCCGTAAACCGCTGATGTAAAGAGCTGGAGCTGTTTCTCAAGCCATCCCTCTTCCCTTGGCTGGAACAATGGGACAGATCCTTTTACGATGTCTGCAGGGATATTTTAGGGACCTGTGAGATTGTCTTAGCTGAGCTCGAGTGTGCATGATGTGTGTGCGTGCCTGCATTACCTTAGCTCTGTGGTGATACTAAAAGGGAGGAGGGCTTCTGAGTTCTTTGATGAGGTTGTGTGTGTGCACGTGTGTTTATCTGTATATAGCTGGCTATTGTTGGAAATAAAAATCTGGTATGTCAGAGCTGCTTCTTGTAGGGAATGGGGGCAGCAAAGTGCCCTGGCTTCTTTGTACAAACAGATCCCTTAAAGCTCTGCCTCCAGCTTCCTGTGCTGTCCCCACCCTGCTTCCTCCCTAGTTCCTGTGCAAGGCAGAGCTACCAAGCACTGGACCACATTCCAGAGCAACCTGAGACACACCTTGCTCAAGTGGGAGTTGCCAGGGCCAGGCTGCTGCTGGGGTGCTGATGGGGTACTGGCCTCTTAATCCCAGTGAGAGGACAAAGTTCCCCCTCCAACCTCACTCCAGCTAGGTGCACTGAGGGGCTTCTCTCAGACCTCAGGAAAGCCCTCTCCAAGGCCTGTGGCAGGGGATTCTCACACTTGGAGAAGAACCGCTTTAGTAGTAGGATAGAATAGTGACTACTCTATTTAGTGGGGTAGATGCTTGAGAAAATCTGAATGAACAATTAAGGACAAGCAGGTGGCCCATCATTGCTGTCTTCCTTCCCATCTGGACCCTTCCTTGCCCTTAAGTTTCTACTTTCCTCTACCACAATCCCTAGTCTATTTATTAACTAGCAAGAGGGCAAATTGGGGTCCTCATCTTGCTTTATTTCTTTCACTGGTGGGGTATTAAATGCTAGTAGGCCCGGTTCTATTGCTTAGTTGAAAACCCCTAGCAGAATTAGGAGTTTCTTCGCTGTCAGAGGCAAAAGGAACAACATCAAATGAAACCATCCATTAAGGGTCATGCATCAATAGAAAAAAATAAAATTTCCAGATGGAAATAAAATCTAATTAGACAATAAAAGATCATAAAACGGTTCAGTAAGAATAAGATTTTTACAGTATGTTTCAGTTCCCTGTTAGGGCCAGGGATGGGGAGGGAGGCCACAGGGAAAGATGAGTCAGGGCTCCTGTGGGTCTGAGGTGAGTGGCTGCCTCCTCCCAGGTCACTGTCTCGAGTGAGTCAGTTATAATCTGCTGTGGACTTTTTTGTCTCCACTTGTAACAACTTGGGAAACATCGTGTCTGCTTTCATTTTAGAATGTTGAAACTAATTTTTGTAATAAATGTTTATTTTTCACATTGACTTTGTTTAAATCCTGCATTAAAAGAATTGGGATTCCCAGAATGACTTGGACATTCAAAGTCTTCCTGATAGTTTTATTAAGCGGTAAGGGGGGCTCTCCCTGGTGGCGCAACTGGTTAAAGTGCAGTACTATGAAGCTATCACAGTTTCTGCAGCATGAATTTAATCCCGGGCCAGGGAGGTGACCACATAGCACAGCAGACCTCTCCTGACCCGCCCACTTTTCCCCTCGGGAGTGCATCTCAGTAGAATTGCCTGTTGTGCTCCCCACTCTGTCTCTGGTAAATCCTCTCACTGCCCCTGCATCTCTGGCCTACACCCCAGTTCTTATATGCATAAATAAATATTTTTTAAAAAGTAGTGGTCACCTGGGTTTGCACTGTGACTAAATGTCACGTGACCTCACTATCCCAACAGGATCTGCAGGACAGAGACTGGTATAAATATTGACAAATGGAGAGGCTATGACTGCCACCTTCTGGAACAAAAGACAGACCTTTGCATTTTACCAGGTGGAAACCAGGAGGATTGCATTTATGAATGACAAAGGTTTAGAGGGAACATCCACTTCCTGTGCTTGCAAGGGGAACATCCTAAAAGCTCTCAATGGACAGAAATGATTAACTCCCTTATAAATTGAAATCAGTAGTGAAAAGTATAAGCGTCTGCCTTTGGGTCAAAGAACTCAATGTTTTATGTATAAGTTTGGCTGTAGAATGTCTGGAACTAGGGAGGCACTTTTTGCTGGTGGAGCCAGGCTTCTTTCTCTAGCTCTGGGTTAGGGGCCACACTTCAGATAGTTACAATTAAACGACTACTTTCAGAAGCACTCTAGATGGTGAAGGGACTTAAAGTGATGCCATAGAAACCCATGCATGGTGTCCTGAAACTAATGTTGGCATCATTTACACCAGTTACTCCTCAATTTAAAAATTAAGTGCAGAGGACTAGGGAAGTGGGAAGCCATGCCATCTAGACATTTCTGACCGCTAACTCCGAGAATCAGAGACTCAGGCAAGGCAAAATTAGTCTTTAGGTAGTTGAAGGTTACTGTAGGAGTGGCCTCCAGGGAGAAAAGTAGGACCAACGATAGTATTCCCAAAATACTGGAAGCAGCTGATGTAATTCAGAATGTGCCTTTCAGAGCTTTAAGGTGGGAGTGCTCAGAATGCTGGTTTTGGAACCAGGCAGACTTTGATTCCAGCCTATTTTGTGACCTTGACAAAATTTTCTGTTTTGTCATCTAAGAGGAATTTACTACCTACCCTATGAAGTTTTTTTTTTTTTTTTTTTTGAAAGATGTATTTAGACATACAAGAGCTGGAGTGCAGGCTGAAGGCTGTGGGGGAGAGTGAGAGGATATTCACCAGAGACAGAGTGGGGAGCAGACAGAGCAGGCAGATTGACTGAAGTACACTGCCGAGGGGAGCAGCTGGTGAGATCCAAGAGGTTTGCTGCACCATGTAGCTCACAACCAAACTGGCCCTGCAGTGACTGCTAAAAGCTTCCTAGTGCTGAGACTTAGTTCCTTGCACCACCAGGGAGGACTCCCTGTGAGGTTTTTAGAAACAAATGCGGCAAGGCCTATGAGGCACTTTACCTCACACAATAAGAGCTGCCCAGGGATGACTTCAGGTGGCATTTTAGGCCAGGGGGTTGGCCAATTTTCAGTAAATGTCCAGAGGATCATCTTATTTGACTTTGCAGATCTCACAGTTTCTGTGAGTTTGCATTTGTGATGTGGCTGTTCCAGGGAGGCCTCACTAAGGCCCTGGCATGTGTGTTTCATATAAGAGACTTAATTTTTGTTTTTTTCCCAATCATTTAAAAACATTAGCCAGTCTTAGATCCCACGCTGCACCAAAACGGGATAGGCTGGCAATTGGTTTTTCTTCAGAGTTGAAATGAAAAGAGAGCCTCTAAACCCCTATTTGGTTTTGAATGCTTAAAGATTCCTGTGGTGCAGGTTAACGACATCCTGGGGGAGGGGAGAGGCCCAGAAGATCAAGTGGGTGGGAACCGTCTGACAAGAATGAGGTGGAGTCAGCAGAGCTGGCAGAGGCAGAGTGACCTGGAAGCTTGATAGTGACGGGGGTTGGGGGTTGGGGGGTGGGGAGGCCCCACCTGGCCAGACACCGCTATACATCCAGTTATAAAACCACAAAAACCCAGTTTCTGTTTCTAGAGGATTCTTAGAACTGTAGTAAAACTACATGGGAATAATAATCAACAGGTTTGGTCACACATCTATTATGACTTACGGCTCCTTGACAGAGTCCTAAGGACAGGGAGCGTATGTCGAGTGTTGGTGCCAGGGTCCAGCATACTGTGAGGAGCAATAAATAGTGAATGAACAAATACCAAGTTCTCTATTATGTTGTCTTCCACCAGCATCATCGCTTCATGTCATTTGTTCACAAACCAAATGCAAACAAGCAGAGTTGGGGAACAGAGGCCCCCAGACCCTGGATTTTAGGGTGCTGGTACCAAAAACATTTTGTTCTTGGTATGTGGGCAGTGGGGTCCGTGAAGTAGGAAGCCGACCAAAAAGAGAATAAAATAACCCTTTTCCTTGCCTCTGCTGTGCTAAGTCCTTTCGAGGGCTGGGCTCCGGGTTCATGGCTGGTCTAAGGTCTCAGGAGAAGTGGCTGCAACTCTTGTCTTTTGTTTGTGTAAAAGACAACACAATTATTATGCATACAAAAACTGAAACCAGAGGAGGAAGGGGTGAGAGGACTCCCAGAGACAGAGTGGGGAGCAGAACAGGCAGGTCCTTGAAACACACTGCTGAGGGGGGCAGCAGACTAGGCAGGAGAGGTCTGCTGTGCCATGTGGGTCATCTCCCTGGCCGGGGATCGAACTCAAGCTGCTGTGGCTGCAGAGAGCTTCCTAGTGATGTGTCTTAACCCCTTGAGCCACCAGGGAGGCCCCCAGCTCTAGCCTTTTAAGGCTGCCCATTTTGTCCACATAGGCGGCTCTTTCCTTTTCCTTAATAAACTCACCATGTGCTGATGGGAAAAAAAAAGTGATGCGTCTGCAAACAACACATTGAAGTCTTCCCCAGAGACATCAACCTATATAAAGAAGTCTAAATTCAGGGCCTGGTGGCGCAGGGGTTAAAGCTATCACCAGCCACTGAACTCCCTCAGCAGTGTATTTCAGAGCATCTGCCTCTTCTGCTCCCCACTCTGTCTCAGGTGAATCCTCTCACATACACACCCCCGGGGCCTACACTCCAGCTCTTGTATACATAAATAAATCTTTAAAAAAGAAAAAGTAAGAGGACCAGGCCCAACTGCCTGAATGCTGTAAAGCTGCCCTTGGCTGCTCAGCTCTGTACCTGGTTCCCAGCAGCTCCCCTGCTCAGGAAGTCTGGTTCCCAGCATACCGACAGTTGTAATCCAAGGCATTTGAGTTCTGTTCGCCTTGCAGATGGAGGAGTGGGTGGACTTTGCTCAGGACATCACTCATGGCTCTTCACTGTTCCTCTGACACAAGTCCCCAAAAGAGGTAGTGTTAGGAGGGTGTAGTCTTTGGAGAAGCTTATGTCATGAAGGCTGAGCCTCATGAATGGTATTGATAGTAAGGAGGCATCACAAGACTTGGAGTCTGGGGCAGGAGGGATTAGCACAGCCTTTGTCCCAGCTATAGAGAAACCAAGATCCTCAGGCCCCAAGGCCTTGGTTACAAAGCATAAGATCTAAGCAGGTAGCAGACTGCTATAGTCTGTGTCTACCACAGACCCAAAAGGTGAAAGATAAAGATATGGAGGTTGAGTCCACTGTGGGATCTCCTGTCCCTTTCAGGTTCTATTCAAAGTCAACAAACCAAGGCTCACTAGGAGTGAGCCATGGAAAGAAGATATCTGTCTTCTTCCAGTCTCTGCACTGGCTCTCCTAGCCGTCCTCTGCCCACCTGTCACTATGCAGGTGCTCCTTTCCAGCCTCTCCCTCCCTCTGCAGGGCAGCAGCCACCTGCCTGCCCATGACCTGCACCTGCCTGGACTTCTCTGCATTGACCTTGGTTAGCAGAGGCTGCTCTCCTAAAGCCACCCTCCTGCGACCATGCAGGCCTCTCTCAGCAAGCCTGTCCCTTTCAGGGCAGCTCTTCCTGCCCACTTGTGCCTATGCCATTGTCCGAGACGCCTGTCCTTTTCCCTAATTAGCCTGCTCTTTAAATATATCTGCGTTCTCTGTCCCATGGAGACACTCGCCTGGGAACTTGCCGCGTGCTGCTGGAAGAGGAGCTGTGGTGAAATGTTTCCCAGAGTGAACTCAAGGACCCTGCACTAACTCCAAAAAATGAAGGGGAGCTCAGCACTGCACAGGAGAGATCTGCTGTGCCACGTGGGCCAGCTCCCTGGCTGGGGATCAAACTCATGCTGCAGGGCTCAAGATAGCTTCATAGTGCTGAGGCTTAACCCCTTGTGACACCAGGGAGGACCTCAGTGCTTCTTTCAATTAAAGACTCAGTGAGCGACCTGCCATGTCTGATGGAGGAAGGAATGCAGGGGAGGCATCACGAGACTGAGTCACACAAAGGGGACAGGTAGAAGGGACTAGTGCAGCAACTGACACAGCCATAACATCAAGGTCCTCAGGCACCAAAGCCTGATGTCCAGGATGTCCGGGATGCCTGGATGCCTCCAAGAGGTCCCAGCAGATAACAGACTGTTGGGGGGTGTGCCCGAAGCTCAGACCCAAAAGGTAAAAGATAAGGACGTGGAGAGGAAGCTCATCAGGAAATCTCCGGTCCTCTCAAGTTCTACCTAGGCTAGCAAAGAGTGAGCCCCTCCCAAGGAGAAACTGCCTATATCAGGGCAGTCTCTGCACCAGCACGGGGCAGCTGTACCACTGCCCACCTGTGCCTGTGCAGGTGCTTCTTCCCACCCGCTCTCTCCCTCTGCGGGCAGCAGCCTCCTTGCCTGCCCGTGACCATGCCGGGACTCCTCTGCA